GGCCAGGGGTTCGGCCTGTGTTCGGGGACGTCATGGTGCAGCGCATGGGTGGGCCTGGCCCAATGTAGGGCCCATCAAGTCAGAACGCAATGGGTCATCAAGTCGTCGCGGGGTGCTCCTCGAGCCCCGCTGCTTTTACGTCGCCGCAGCGGTAACCCAGTCGCCGACTTACCGGTTCGAGTAGATGCAGCTCGAAAACACACCGCTTGGGATGAGGGCGATAAGGCCTTGGGAACGCGCAAGGGGCGGCGCGCTGGTTCGAGCAGGGAGGGGGGGGGGTCTCTGTGAGCACCCCAACGCCTTGCTTCCCAGCCAGGGGCAGCCGGGCGACCGCTCCGTCAGAAGTGATTCGAATTTTCCCAGCCAGGGGAGGGGTTAGGCCTGACATCGACACCGGCGAAGTGGCGAAAGTCAAGTCCCCAGCACGGCGAAGGAAGGCACGCGGTGCACAGCAGGGGCGGCGCATTGACATGAGCGAGGAGGGGAGCAGCTCGAGGAACACCCCAGCTCCGAGCTCCCAAACCAGGGGCAAGTAGGCGACCGCCCCAGGAGAAGTGAAGCATCATTCCCCGGCCAAGCGAGGTGTTAGGCCTGCCATCATGTTTCACTGACGGGATGGCGAAGCACTCGGACTCGGCCCCTGCCAGGCGAGGGGTTCGGCCTGACATCATCGACGAGGTGGTGCAGGACGTCTCCCCAGCCATGCGAGGGGTTAGGCCTGAGGTGCACAGCGAGCGCGCTCGCACCAACCTCGACGACGAGGACGACATCTTCGAGCTGTGCGAGTACGAGCTCGCGGAAATGAGCGGTCCCGACGCTGTGGGCCACGCGCAGTGGCCCTGATGTCGTCGACATCATCGGTAGCAGCCTCGTGGACGAGGGCGCGTATTTGCAGCTGCACTGGGTCGACGTCGACCCGAAGTTCAACGAGCGCGCCTTCTGATCCCAGCAGGCGCGCAGGAGCGCGGCCGTGGCGGGCGTCGGGGCGCGTTCAACAGCCGCGTTCCGCGGCCGCATTTGCCTACCGATCCTCCTCCTCCTCCTCGACCTCCTCGTCCCCCTCCTCCTCGTCTTCCTCGTCGACCTACTCGTTCCTCTCCTTCTCCTCCTCCTCCTCCTCCTCCTCCTGCTTTCTTGCTTCGAACCCACGCTCGCCTCCGACGGGGGGGGGCAAAAGACCGACGGAGGACGGCTGCGGCAACGGCGGCGGCGGCCACCGCGGGATCTCCCGACGCCATGTCCGCCTGGGATGCGCGCCGAAAGGGCGGGGAGGGCGCGCCCTGCAGTGCAGACCCAGGCCCATGCCAAAATATACCCTGCTCCTCCTCCTCCTCCACCTCCTCCTCCTCCCCCTCCTCCATCTCCTCCTCCTCTTCCTCCTCCTCCTCCTCCTCCTCCTGCTCCTCCTCCTCCTCCTCCATCTCTCCTCTTCCTCCTCCTCTTCCCCCGTTCCTCCTCCTCCTCCTCCTCCTCCTTCTCCTTGTTCTTGTCTTTTACAGTGGAGTCCCATGCCAAGAAACACCCTGGTTTCGATGGTTTTGCGAAGTGAGTGGCGTTTCCACACCAAAAAGCCATGGACGTCCTGCGGTATCAGGGATGGGTTTCTCTTGGCAGGTTTTTTGTGGACTGGACTCCACTGCGCAGGGGAGGCGCCGAAAGAAGGAAAAACCGGGGTCAGGATGTGGCGCGCCGTTCCTTCGCTGTTTCTTTGGTCTTCCAGCGCTCTTCGCGCGCGCACACTTTTTGGGGCCCCAGAGGGGTTTCGCTCCTGACTGAACGTTCCCTACGGTAGCAGTTTGACTGTGCCCCCTGCCCTCCGCCACGCCGCCTGCCCCCGGTCACGTGGGCCAGCCTCGGGCTCGGGGCTGTAGTCTTTGTTGTTTGCGTCTTTGTCGTCCTTCTCCTCCTCCTCCTCCTCCTCCTCCTCCTCCTCCTCTTCAGCCTCCTCATCGTCCTCCTCCTTATCTCCTTATCCTCCTGGTTTCCAGGTCTCTTTTGGCGGGGCAGGTGCTGTTGTCTGCCGCGTCCGTTCCCGCGTCGTGGTCCTTGCTCGGGCTCCCTCGTGGGCGGGCATCTGCTCCCCGACGGGTGCCCGCGCCCAGCGGCTGAGGGCGAGCCCCCCGCTCGCTGGGGCGGGCTGTGTCGGGCCACAGCCCGCCATCGCGGACCAATCTTGAGGGGCCCGTTTTCCACCACCACTACCATAAGTAGGAGAGGGAGGAGGAGGGGGAGGAGGAGGAGGAGGAGGAGGAGGAGGAGGAGGCGGAGAAGGAGGGGGAGGAAGAGGAGGAGGAGGAGGAGGAGGAGGAGGAGGAGGAGGAGGACCTCCCACTCCTGCCTCCTCCCCCGTCTTACCTATGGTGGTGGTGGTGGAAAGTGGGCCCATCAGATCTGGCTGTTTGTGCGAGACACAGCGGGGGAGAAACGCCACTGTCCGGCGGCGAAGCCCGAACCCAGCCCTCGCTCACCGATCAGCGACTCAGGCAGCTCGATGGGCAGCGGGGGCAGGGTTCGGAGGTCCGTCGAGCGCGGGGCGAGTTCCGAGCCCCGACGCCCGCCTCCTCTTATCGCTTCGGGAGGATCGAAGGGCTTGTGGGGCCAGGGCTCAGATGTCGCCACCTGGCTGTGGTCTTCCCCCCCTTTTGGCCCTCTCAGTCTCTGCATCCGCCGCGGGCCGACGACGGAGGGCCTCCGCGGCCTCGGGGAGCGCGCGGCTCCTCGCCTGGGCCGCGCGGAGCCCTGGGCACGCGGTATGCGCGCGGGGGTGCCACGGATGCCTGGGCACCGTCCGGCCTCGTGCCCAAGGGGGGGGCGAGGCTGAGTCTCGGCGGCGAGCGAGGGGGGGGAAGAGAGAAGGAGAAGGCCTTCTCAGAAGGCGGCGGGACTTCTCAGAAGCCCTCGCGCCTGCTGAGAGGTGTTTTCTGTCTTCGCGGAAGGCTTGAAAAACTTATCAGAAGGTTGGGGGACTTCTGAGCCTTCTGAGAAGGCCCGCCCCTTCTCACTTCCCCCACTCGCTCGCCGCCGAAATTCAGGCCCCCCCCCCACTTTGACCGACATCCCCTAAGGCGTTCGCAAGAGCGCCTTCTTCAAGGCACCCAGGGGTGGGGGGGGGCCCGAGAGGCGCCCAAGCGGCCCCACAATGGGCCCCCAAGACGCGCCCAAGTCTCGAGCGGACCCCCAGGGGCTCCCCAGAGGCACTCAAGACTTCCGAAGACGCCTGGGCACCGTTCGACCTCGTGCCGCCTTCTCTTCTATACCTTTTTTCCCAACCATCCTGTGGTGTTGGGTCCTCGTTTTGAAGAGACGTCGCCCCGCGTTCCTTCCTCCTCCTCCTTCCTCCTCCTCCCCTTCCTCCCCCCTCCTCCCCCTCCCACACCCATTCTGGCACACCCCTCACACGTTTCGTGGCCCCATAGGGAGCTCCACCGAAGGCCCCAGTGGCTGCGCCCGCATGCGGTTCCACCCCCCATTCTGGCACACCCCTCACACGTTTCGTGGCCCCATAGGGAGCTCCACCGAAGGCCCCAGTGGCTGCGCCCGCATGCGGTTCCACCCCCCATTCTGGCACACCCCTCACACGTTTCGTGGCCCCATAGGGAGCTCCACCGAAGGCCCCAGTGGCTGCGCCCGCATGCGGTTCCACCCCCCATTCTGGCACACCCCTCACACGTTTCGTGGCCCCATAGGGAGCTCCACCGAAGGCCCCAGTGGCTGCGCCCGCATGCGGTTCCACCCCCCATTCTGGCACACCCCTCACACGTTTCGTGGCCCCATAGGGAGCTCCACCGAAGGCCCCAGTGGCTGCGCCCGCATGCGGTTGCACCCCCCATTCTGGCACACCCCTCACACGTTTCGTGGCCCCATAGGGAGCTCAACCGAACGCTCCAGTGGCTGCGCTCGCATGCGGTTCCACCCCCCATTTCGGCACACCCCTCACACGTTTCGTGGGTGGCTCCATGTGGAGCTCCACCGAAGGCCCCAGTGGCTGCGCCCGCATGCGGTTCCACCCCCCATTCTGGCACACCCCTCACGCGGTTCGTGGCCCCATAGAGAGCTCCACCGAAGGCCCCAGTGGCTGCGCTCGCATGCGGTTCCACCCCCTTTTTCGGCACGCCCTTCACACGTCTCGTGGCCCCATAGGGAGCTCCACCGAACGCCGCAGTGGCTGCGCTCGCATGCGGTTCCACCCCCCATTTCGGCACACCCCTCACACGTTTCGTGGCTCCATAGGGAGCTCCACCGAAGGCCCCAGTGGCTGCGCTGGCATGCGGTTCCACACCCCATTCTGGCACACCCCTCGCACGTTTCGTGGCCCCATAGGGGGCTCCACCAAAGGTCCCAGTGGCACTGTCCGCTTGCGTCCGCCACCACCCAGCACAGCCCTTGTTCCCTGCGCTTCACCCACCCAGAACAGCGCTTCGTAGCCCTATAGGGAGCTCCACCAAAGGTCCCAGCGGCACCGCCCGCATGCGTCCGCCACCACCCTGCGCAGCCCTTGCTCCCTGCCTGCGTTTCACCCACCCAGTACAGCGTTTCGTGGCCCCATAGGGAGCTCCACCGAAGGTCCCAGTGGCACCGCTCGCATGCGTCCGCCACCACGCAGCACAGCCCTTGCTGACCGCGTCTCACCCACCCAGTACAGCGTTTCGTGGCCCCATAGGGAGCTCCACCGAAGGTCCCAGTGGCACCGCCCGCATGCGTCCGCCACCACCCAGCACAATTGCGGCATTCACAACTGCAGATGGTTGGGTCCTTCGCCAGGCTAATTTTCTCTCAAGGGAGGAACACACCCCGACCCCGACAATCGGCGTTTACTAAACAGCCACACGCGTTTACTAAACAGCCCTGTCCTGTTCCTGTTCGATCCCCTCCCTGTGTGCGTTTGCTAGAGGCTTCGCTCGTCGGGTCGTTCTGCCTGCTATTTTCTTTTCGCCCCCGCCCTTCCTCCCTCCCTCCTCCTGCCGGCCCGCGAGACCTTCCTCGCGGGCCCGTTCGAGGGGATGACGGCGGGATCCCTGGACGCGGAGAAGACCAAGGCGGCCCGAGGGCGCCCAACCAGCGTGACCGCCGGGAGGAGAAGGGGCTTGCGGTTTCCGTCGACGTCTCTCGGGCTCCCAGGGGCCTCGTGGGCCCAGGCCCAGGCCCAGGGTTCCGTCAAACAGCGGCTCAGGGGATGAGAAGCTGGCTATTCGGTCGGGTGCTGCCAGAAGTGCCCCTGGCCCAAGGTGCCCCCAGGATGTCCAAGGAGGCCCCCGTGGCCTCCAGAGCACCCCTCACGAGGCCCAGGGAGCCCCAGGGGCTTCAAAATGGAGCGAGAAGCTGGGAGCACCTTGGGCCAGGGGCACCTTTAGCAACCCCGGAGACATACCGACGATCCGATGTGGCCCGATGCTTGCATGGAAATGCTGTACATCTTGTTGCAGCCGATCGGATTCAGTGTCGATTCCGTGCCGATGTAGCCTATCCGACGCACCCTCCGAGTCGATCCAAGTATCTAGTTCGGTACTGATGGATCTTTGGAGGAGGGCCGCTATGGCAGACATGATCCTGGGACTGGTCGTTTGCTAGGCAGAGTGCCATTTGTTCTGCTCCGCACAATTGGCAGCTTACAGTTGTTGCAGCTTCGATGGAACTGGGAAGAAGGGTGAGGGAACGGATGAGTAGTATAAGTCGTGGCAGTAACTAGTAGTAGTAGTAGTAGTAGTAGTAGTAGTAGTAGTAGTCGTAGTCGTAGTCGAAGTAGTAGTAGAAGTAGTAGTATCAGTAGTAGTAGTAGTAGTCGTCGTCGTCGTAGTAGTAGTAGTAGTAGTAATAGTAGTAGTAGTAGTAGTAGTAGTAGTAGTAGCATCAGTAGCAGTAGCAGTAGTAGTAGAAGTTGAAGTCGTAGTCGTCGTAGTAGTCGCAGTAGTAGTACTAGTAGTAGTAGTAGTAGTAGTTGCAGCAGTAGCAGTAGTAGTAGTAGTAGTAGTAGTAGTAGTAGCAGTAGTAGTAGTAGTAGTAGTAGTAGTAGTAGTAGTAGTAGTAGTAGAAATAGTAGTAGTAGTAGTAGTAGTAGTAGTCGTAGTAGTAGTAGTAGTAGTAGTAGAAATAGTAGTAGTAGTAGTAGTAGTAGTAGTCGTAGTAGTAGTAGTAGTAGTAGTAGTAGTCGTAGTAGTAGTAGTAGTAGCAGTAGTAGTAGTAGTAGTAGTAGTAGTAGTAGTAGTCGTAGTTAGTCGTAGTCGTTCTAGTAGTAAGTAGTAGTAGTAGTAGTAGTAGTAGTAGTAGTAGTAGTTTAGTAGTAGTAGTAAGTAGTAGTAGTAAGTAGTAGTAGTAGTAGTAGTAGTAGTAGTAGTAGTAGTAGTAGTAGTAGTAGTAGTACCTACTACTACTACTACTACTACTAGTCTTAGTAGTCATAAGTAGTAGTAGTAGTAGTCGTAGTTGTAGTCGTAGTCGTAAGTCGCTGTCGTAAGCGTAGTCGTCGTAGCGTAGTCGTAAGTAGTAGTAGTAGTCGTCGTAGTAGTCGTCGTAGTAGCAGTAGCAGCGTAAGTAGTAGTAGTCGTAGTAGTAAGTAGTAGTAGTAGTAGTAGTAGTAGTAGTAGTAGTAGTAGTAGTAGTAGTAGTATAGTAGTAGTAGTAGTAGTAGGTAGTAGTACTAGTAGTAGTAGGTAGTAGGTAGTAGTCGTAGTAGTCGTAGTTGTCGTAGTAGTAGTCGTAGTAGCAGCCGTAGTAGTAGTAGTTGTAATAATAGTAGTAGTAGTAATCAGAGCCGTAGTCGTACTCGTAGTAGTAGAAGTAGTAGTAGTAATGTATTCGTCGTAGTAGTTCGAGTAGTAGTACTCGTAGCAGTAGTAGTAGTAGTAGTAGTAGTAGTAGTAGTAGTAGTAGTAGTAGTAGCAGTCGTAGTAGTAGTAGTAGTAGTAGTATCAGTAGTAGTAGTAGTACTAGTAATAGCTGTAGTAGTCGTAGTAGTAATAGTAGTAGTAGTAGTAGTAGTAGTAGTAGTAGTAGTAGTGGTAGTCGTAGTAGTCGTCGTAGCTGTGATAGCAGCAAAAGCAGTACAGTAGTCGTAGTAGTAGTAGTAGTAGTAGTGGTAGTAGCATTAGTAGTAGTAGAAGTACGATTCGTAGTATGAGTATTAGTATTTGTAGTAGTAGTAGTAGGAGTAGTAGTAGTAGTAGTCGTATTAGTGGTAGCAGTCGTATTCAAAGTAGTAGGAGTAGTCGTAGCAGCAGTAGTAGTAGTAGTAGCAGTAGCAGGCGTAGTCGTAGTAGCCCTACTAAGGGTAGTGGCAGCAGTGGTAGCAGTAGTAGTAGTAGTAGTAGTAGTAGGAGTATTAGTAGTAGTAGTAGTAGTAGTATGCAGTAGCAACGACAGCAACAGCTGCAACAGCAGTAATAGTGGTAGTAGTAGTAGTAGTAGTAGTAGTAGTAGTAGTCCTCGTCGTCGTCGTCATCGTAGTAGGAGTAGTCGTAGTAGTAGTAGTAGTAGTAGTAGTAGTCGTAGTAGTAGTAGTAGTAG